GGACATGGATATGGGGATATAGATATGGGGATGTGGATGTGGGGATATGGATGTGGGGGACATGGCTGTGGAGGACGTGGATGTCGGGAGGTGGATATGGGGCATTGTCTGTGGCGGGACATGGATGTGGGGGACATGGATATGGGGTACATGGCTGTGTGGGGACATGGCTACACGGGGCTCTGCGGGGCAGGACAAGGCGTCCCCTTGGGACAGGGCTGGCAGTGGGTGTTGGGCTGCAGGACCCCACCTCAGGGTGGGAGCCAGGGTCCCCAGGCCTTGTGTGCTGGCCGTGGGGTGTCCTGCAGGCACTGGAGGCTGGGTGTAGCCCCTAAAAGCTACAGCAGACATCTCTGTGGAGTCAGGTCCAGTGTTACCTCCAGTCCTTCATTGTCACAGGATGGGGAACAACACTGGACCAAGAGCTTTGTGGGGGATTTGGCTCCCAGCCCTGGTGAACATTGCCAGGCAAGCGAGGCGCCAGATGAGCCGCCCTGCACATCTCAGTGTGACCACTGGGTAAGTTAGGCAGAGGTGAGAGAGGCTGGGGATCACCTCAGGGCAATCCCTGTAAGGCACGAGTGCCCTGGGGCTCTGCTGAGGGCTCCATCAAAGACCCCAGCCCAGGTGCTGGACACAACCCCAGCCCCACAGTGGATCACTCAGCTCTTCCTCTCAGCCTGACAGAAGTGACAAGAGATGTTTCCTATTGTCCTGTCTACACCTGCTTTTAATAACCCATCCCTGCTTCTGTAAACTGTCTGCTCAATTTTGAAGAGCACTGCAAACCATTTGGAGGATTTGTAAGCCACAATAGGACCTATATTTATTTTCAGATACTACTTTTTCCAGTAGTTCTCCATTGCAGATGAAGGCAGCCATTGACTGTTACATCTCATTGCATGTAACCCCAGCAGTGATTGAACAGGGGTTACATCCATCTGGCAGAACAGCACATCACCCCAGCACCACTCTGGGCTTCCTGTGACAGCTCCAGTGACCCCACAGCTCTGGGGTGAGTCAGCCCAGCATGGGAATCCAGCAGGAAATTCTGACAGTGGTAGAAAGAAAAGACATAGTTTTTTGTTGGCCTGGTGAGTTGATTTACTTATGTGACCACTGTTTAAGGGAATGAGAGGAAAACAAAATGAGAAAACTGCCACCCACACATAACACTGAGCTGCTCTGACTCAAATCAGATGGACGCCTTCCTCTACCCGAAAAAACCCTAAAAACATCTATTTTCTGTTAATGTGCTAACTCTGCTGTCACCGTTTGATTCTCTGTTGACTGCACACCTCACCGCTCTTGTCAAAGCTGGTGTCAGCCTGGCCAAGCTTCTGTCCCTGCTTACCCGGGCCACACCAGTTACTGGGTTTTATGTAATGACTCAACAGTTACTTCCCCTGATTCTCTGGAAATTCAGTGGTACAGTATTTACTGTAAAAAAAATCAGTACTAAGAGTTAGGTGATGTTCTCAGGCAATTCTTAAAATACTTTTGCGTGACAGTTTTAAAGATGGGTATAAAGCAGTGGTTTTCATTCACTCTGGTTACGTGTGAAAGGCCATGTGAAATACCTCCAATACAGTGACACTAACGTGACAATTTTTTAAACAAAGAACAGAAAAATTAATTAATAATTTCAGGGGTTTTTTTTCAATTAATTGTAAATTTTATTGTCCAATATCCAACCTAAATCACTACTAAGATTTAATTTGTGCCTCAAGGAAATGCCACTGGTGATCAGTGGTACTGGCCAATATATTTTCATTGAATTTCCCTAGCTAGTTACCCCTTTTACAAACTGCCAAACTACCCATTGCTATCAGTCTGCAAAATTCCCATTTATATATGTCTTTATTATTGCCTATTCTTCCCTTTTGAGCAAGATGTTTTGTTTTAAAACCAGAAAAGCCTCATTTGAAGCCACTGAAATTGTGCACATTTGAGTCACCTAACAACACACTGATTGAGGACTCTCCCAGGTTCCATTTGGATCACACTGAGGTATTTCCTCAGGCTCACTTTTTCACATAACCTCTTTTAGCCTTGCAAACTTGCTAGCAGTGTCCCCAGAAGAGTCATAGGAATGTGGGGAGATTAAAATGGGTACCCTTCTG